ACTGATTGCCAAACTTCAAATTTTAGATTTTCTCATTCAACTTTTGCAAACAAACCTAAAGTTTTTCTTCGAAGGACGATCCAAATCTAATAAATTTAATCTTCAAGAAAACATGAATGAGATAAGTTTAGCTCAAATAATACACTTGTGATTGTACTTTTTAAAAAATGAAGTATCGGTCGATTAAAGAAATGAAACAATGTGAACAAACAGAAGAAAATAAAACATAATTTCTTAAACAACACTAGTTGATTATTCTGATAAAAGCGGGTAAACATGCTTTCAACAAGTTTTATCAGAGAAAAATGGCATATCTATAAAATATTTTTCAACTGGTAAAAATCGATGAAAATTGATCGGATCAATTACAACTCTACATCAAATTTCGTAATCAAATAGGAAAAAAATGCATGCGTATCTTTTTCTATTAAGATTGATGCAAAACAGCAAACGTTTGTCTCAGTGCGGTAGAAACTTGAGACATTATACATGCTTTCATTGTGATTCTCATGATCAGTCATGAGAGCAAGCTAATATAATTGGGTATTGCGAATAGTGATAAAAAAATCAACAGTGTAATTTTTAAAAATTCAAGACCTTAGTACTTGATTGTGTAGGAATGTATACAAGGAACGTGCAAATATTTCCGGATATCTCATAGAATTTTGTTTTTCTAAGTGAAAACGAAACTTAGTCGTTGCTGTTCGTACTCCACATGATGACAAGCTAGGCACATTATGTGGCTCTTTTCTTAGATATGTTGAAGCAAACTCCATCAAACAACGAACTTTTTCGTGGTCGATTCGATAGCGTTCACGATCGTAGGTCAACTTCCGTACGAATCTTCATTAGTTCCACATTTTCAGGTAAATCTCTTTTCTAATCAGAACTTTAAAAAAAAATAACATTGATTTTCCAATCAATTATAGATACTATAGAAGAACGCGATGAACTAATGAAAAATGTCTATCCAAAGTTGCGCGATTACTGTCTAAAAACATACAACATACAATTTCAGGTCTATTTTCTAACTACTACTAAATATGATTTATGTCGTGCCGAAGTTATGTAAACTCAGCTAACCGATTAGTAATCCATTGATTAAATGTTGCTATCAAACTGCATAGCTAAAGTGGGGTTTTCAGATCAATATCGCAGATATTTATATAGCTATAAACATAAAAATTTATGAATTACATAGAAAAATGAGAAAGACATGCATAGAATGAATACCGTGTAATCAATTTAGTTTTGTTCCGAAGTTGATGATTCCGACTAAATTCGACGTCAGATTGCGGCAGAATTTAACGGAATTTAACTGGATGTGATTATCTGAATCCGGGCGATGACATTGTGGCGCAATTTGTTTGCATCTATGCCAAATCGTATCGCAAGAGCTTGACTTCGATCTTTATCTGATCTGATTCGACTTGTGATTTGAGAAACCTCTAATTAATATTTTTTGATAGAGTAATGCTTGAACTGAACAAACAATGCTAAAATCACAACAATTTAAACTCCATTTCTCTATATAATTCGTAAATTTTTCAGTTTATAGTTAAACAAATATATGCTATGTTCATCTGAAAATTCCGCTTTAACTGTGCTGTTCGATAGTAGCATTGTAATCAATGGATCACTAATCGTTTAACTGAGCTAAAATAACTCCAACAACCGATGTAACTTCGACATGACATAGACACTCGTATAATTTCAGTATTCTGACATGCGCTGGGGCATCCAAGATCAGGCTATAGATGATCATTCCACTGTCAATCTATGTTTACAAGAACTAGATCAATGTTGTCGCCTCTCACAGGCTACTAATTGTGTGGTAAATTATTTATTCATATCGAGTTGCAGATGATAATGACTTGAACCATTGTTAGGTTCTATTGAGTCACAAATATGGATGGCGACCTTTACCCACTTGTATTAGAGCAGATATGTTGAATATGTTCAAATTAATTCTGACCGTCGACGAGAGAACTCTTATCGATGAAGTATATGTTTTGGACGAGAATCTATTTGAACCTGTCTACGTACTTCGACCAGTCGATCCACAGAGAAGAGACAAATGGCGAATAATTGAAAAAAATTTAACAAGAATATTACGTCGAGCTGCTGATATTAGTTTCGAAAATAACAAAATTACTCAAAGTGAACGAAATCAATTTCATATTTCTGGTAAGAGTTTTTTTTCCTTGTTCAATTTTATTTCAGATTGTTTCAGTGACGGCCAAGGAAATTGTTAGAGCACTGGAAAATAATGCAATTGATCCACAACGAATGGTTGCATTTTTTCGAGAGATTGAAGATATTAATGAACTTGATATTAAACTTAAATCAAAATTGATTGATACTGATCATGAAACAGAAATATTATTGAATCAAATAAAATCAAATATTCGAGAGAGACTTCCACTTGAAAATCAATTCAACTATCGAGTGATTTATTCAAACTAAATCTATTAAACAATCTATTCTTCTCGTTTTTTTTTCTGTAGGTAAACTGGAAAGATGTTTCGGATCGAATCAATTATCTAGTCAAATTTCAAAATGATTTCTATACTGTTATTAAGCGGCAAATCGATTATTACATCACACAAATTCCAGCAAAAGATATTTTGTACGATGAAATCCTCGAACATGCTATACAATGTCGCATGTTGAATAAACGTTATTGTTCACGCGATGAAATTCTCGAGAAAGTAAATTTTTTTTTTCTATATTATTCTGTCTTTTTAATTAATTGAATAGGTTAGAGCATATGTTTTATCGAATGTGTTACAACCATGCATGATATTCGGCAAATCAGGCTCGGGAAAATCATCTATTATGGCTCAAATAGCGATCAAAGTGAATAGTTTGTTGAATTAGTATTATTTGATAGAGAATAGTTTTAGGTATTAGAATGGTTTTCAAATCCGAATTCAGTCTCTATCATCATTCGTTTTCTTGGTGCAACACCATTGTCAAGTGATATTCGTCGACCATTAATGTCAATTATACAACAAATCTGTATTCTCTATCATCTCATGCCATCATCTCCTATCCAAGATTTCACAACAATTGAAGAACTAAAAACTATATTGCAAAATCTCTTTATGCAAATTCCAATCAATGAACAACTTATTCTCCTTTTCGATTCGATTGATCAATTACAAGTCGGAGATTATAATTGTGAAAAATGGCTTCCAATTAATTATCCATCGAATATTAAATGTATTCTATCTACAATACCAGTGATTACTGAAGGTAATGGAGAACAGAAAATCGAGTATAAAATTCTCAATGGACTTATATCTCTTTTTCCTAATGGTACTCTAATTGAGATTAGAGAATTCGATAGAAACCTAGCACAACAAGTAGTCTATTCATGGTTAGAACGTGATGGCCGACGTCTTTCACCACTTCAAATGACTTGGTTGCAGCCAAAATTCGAGTCATACAGTCTAAATCGAAGTGATCCAGAACCTACGCCATTATTTCTTTCATTAGTATATCAAATAACCCAAACATGGCGTTCATTCAATGACAAACCTGATCGGGATTTTCTTAAAATACATTCGACCCGAGATGCCATAAACTATTTGTACAATCAATTATCTAAAAAACATGGAGATATTTTATTCAAACGAGCGATGACATATTTGAGACTAGCGGGTGGTCTCAGTGAAACTGAATTGGAAGATATTCTCAGTGCAGATGACAAAATTTTGCAGTCAGTTTTTGTCCATTATCTTCCTCCGACGAAAATATTCCGATTACCAAGTACTCTGTGGATTCGTATTCGCAATGATATGCACAAATATCTCATCGAAAAAGAAATCGATAATACACTCATCATCTATTTGTAAGAAGATTTACTGAAAAATATTCTAGAATCCGTCTTTTTTTTTCTTTATTCTATTAAAAATTATATTCAATTCTGTTTTTCTTTGTGCATAGTTATCATCGCCGTTTTCAACAACATTCGATATTTAATATTAATCAAGAAAAGCCTATCGAAACTATTCGACGTGCTTATTTTGCTGGTCCTGTTGGTAATTTTCCGAACTTATATAATCAACCATTTGTAATTGAATCGAAAAAACTTATCGAAAAGATGAACGGTATTACTTCATTAGTTGTTGATCGACGTCTAACAAAACAACGACCGTATGTTCTGAATAAGAATGAACAAGAATGCATCTTCAATATACGACGAATTAATCAACTATGTTTAAATTTAGATATCTATCGGCCTGAACCATATTTTCTCTATGATTATAATTTTATGTGGAGTTTTCTTCATTGCTACAAAATGAGCGATCGATTTGTGGCCGATTCTTCTTGTCCTGAAATTCGATTTCTTCTTACACAATACATGAGTTGTTCTTCTATTCTAGACAAATATCCAGATAATTTTGCTTTCGAAATAGTTTCTCGTCTAACATCTTCTATCGAGATACTTCCTAAATTTATCTACAATTTATTTCAGCAGTGTCTGAATAATTGTGTGCTTCGCATGTTGGAAAGTGATACACGAACATTTAATACAACTATGAACAAATACCAAATTGGTGTCGTTAATGCCGTCTGTGGAGCGTATAATACTCTTTATGTATTTCTTTCACAAAGATTTCTTATATTTCGATTTTATGCGCAAGATTGGACCGGAAAAATGTTTGATTATAAATTACCTTCAAATGAATTCACTTCGGTCAAGTTTGGTTCGACTGATATTTGTTTCTATTCATCAAAATCAATTTTGATCTTTCAAAAATTCGATCATCACTTTGGACTTCATTTAAATTATAACCATATAATACATGTCGATTTTATACACAAGGAAGGATTATTTGTCTGTTCGAGAGATAATCAATCGATTGATATATGGCATTGTTTAGATAAGAAATTGATTGAACAATATGTATTTGAGGCTCCTATTTTAGAATGTTCGACTATTGAACGTCATATGGGTGCAGTGATTCGAGTGACACTTGAAACTGGCTTAACACATTACTTGATTGCTACAAATGTTCAAGGAAAATTTCACTTTCAACTTGTTGCAACATTAAATAAAAAACCAGATAAACAAAATATCTTTCTTAATTTTGAAACTGATGTTTACTATTCTGAAGGTCAATCACATATTTATCTCTACTATTTCGAACGTGCCGAAAATGATCGTCTCGAAAAAATCGATAATTTACCATTATTGAATCGTGTCATTTATAGTCAAAGTTTTTTCACCGATCGGCATCAGAGTGCATTAATATGGTTGACTATTGATTCTGTCGTTATTTTTCACTCATGTGGTAAGCATTTCATTATTTCTGGTGAATATCATGATATATATACAAGATATCAATCAAAGCGAAACTTTATTGGTTGTCTCAATCGAAATGAATCAAGAATTGACATATACGAATGGAAAATTTCTGAGCGCATTCATACGTATCGTCTACTCGTTCATCTGCAACTCGATGAAAAAGTTTCTCATTGGATATGTCAGATAGGTGAGTTTTCATCATGTTTACAGAGTTTTTCTTTCTAGATATATTCCTTGTTAAAGACTCAGAATGGGGTTTCATTGTCTGTTGCATATTAGAGAACGGAGAATTACGTAGATACAAAACAACAATGATGACTTATTTGCCTGATAAAACAATCATAGATCGAAAAAGTTTAATATTCAAAATTTCGATCGATTATTTCGAAATTCAAGGAAATTTTGTTGTTGCATTAGACCAGACAAAATGGTGAGTAATCTTAAGAAATGTAATTGTCAAAGAAACCAATATTTTACAGCATTTTGAATCTTTTCACCTTTACCAATCGATTATCTCTTGTCATGCAACTACGGATGTCTTTTACTATTACGCAATCAGCTACTATCACATCCTATTTACTTCTACTAAATTCCGACAATATTCTCTTCATCTATTCAATTAGTTCAACTCCAGAACTTCTGTATCAAACAAACGAACTTCAACATCATTCCGTCAAAGTATATTCACTTGGCTTGTCCTTTTTGATCATTGATGCTCAGATTAGTCAACTTTTTCAAATTGATACAAACCATTCAATTGAGCTACGATCTGTTGCACATCTTAACTTCGCCTGTCATTCTTTATTAAGTACTATCATGGCTGACCGAATGAAATTATTTATTTTAGCCGATGATCACTCAATATCAACCATTTGGAATATACAGGAGAAGATGATCAAATTTATTCCCATATTGCTTGATCATAACATTAAGATAAGAGAAATTTGTGCTCTACAAACTGCTTTGGTCTTCTACGATCATAATCAGCGAGCTCATATATGGGATATTGAAAATGAATACATCATCCTGACTCTTGATCATCATCTTGACGAGACAAACATCAACTGTTTAACTCTTATCGAGCACACGAGTAACAAATGGTTCTTCTATTCGTCTAAAAATGACAGATTAGTTAGGACAATTCGACGGGAAATATTCTGTGATGTCTTCTGTTTTACAGAAGATGGCAAATATCTATTTGGAATATCTCAAAAAGAATCATTACTATTGATGTATCGAGTCGATGATGGTCAAGTTTTGGAGAGACTCTTCATCGAAAATCTTTCGTCAAATATTCAAATTTCAAAATATCATCTAGTTCTCAATTCAAACAATGAACTAATCTTGTTATCCCTTACTGAACGAGATTTATCATCATTGAAACGGTAAAAAAAATAGTTTGTCTCCTCTTTCTTTTTTGTTGTAACTCAATGAGAGTTCTCTTTCAGAAAAAGCATCGGTCCAACACAACGTTGTGCTTTGTTTGAAAATGCTGATTGGATCGATTGTCACAAAGATGAATGTTGGACGGCGACGAGTTCTACTTGTGCTTATGAGAATTAATAAACAAACATCATCAATCCATGATTTTCGTTTCATTGATAGATTTTAACAAATTACGTAGTTCTTTTTTTCTTTTCAAAGTACACTCATGTACAGCTACAACACGATAAGATTAATAAATAACCAGGTAGTCGATTGAATGATGAAGATAACTGCCGAAGCATTCTGGTTGCAAGAAAATAAATACATAATATCCAAATAATAGATAAGACTTTTTATAGTAATCACTACTTTCCGCTATCGGCTGCTAGAGCTCAGATTTCGAAGAAAATCATGTCCAATAAATCTGTCCAAAGAGAATGGACTTGAGAGAAATCTTTATGAGATTTGAACAAGACTGGATCATTCACTCTACGCAGATTAAGAAATAGAATTGCCATACATGACTATTAGTGATTGTGTCGCTTATGTCTGACAGAGGCGTGTGGGTGTAGATGTGGGTGTGGGTGTGGGTGTGTGTATCAGTATAGATCTCTAATTCATCCACAGCCAAAATCACACCCACATCCTCTAGGTAGCCTTTGAAAAGTTACCTAGGGTACGCCATGGTAGCCTTTGAAAAGTTATCAAGGGTACCGCTAGGTAGCCCTTGAAAAGGTACAAAGATTACCACCTGGTAGCCCTTAACAAGTTGAAGGTAGTATGAGAGGTAGCAGTCTAGAATTGACACTACGTATATGTATTATCATTAAAAATAATGCTAAAGTAATGCTAACACCTAAGGATTAATTAACTCTAAAGCCATTAATGCTAAAGCATTAGTATTAACTGTTAATGCTAATGCTTTTGCATTAGCATTATTTTTAACTTAATGCTATTATGACACCCCTAGTTATGATTAAACTTTTATCTGAAATAATTTAATGCAATTTAGAAATAGGTTGTATAGATCAAGCTGAATATTATATAGATCTATTAAGAAATATAACTGGACAAGACTTTCAAAATAAATTAAACGAATATGAACTAAGACAAAAGTTAATTATTCACTTAAGACGAATTATGAAATTTGAAGCTATGTTATTATCAAAACAGGAAGAGAGTGATGTCATAATCCCGTTACATCCGGTATCCGCATTTTCTTCTACACATCTTCCACTGTATTCAATGTTCGGGATATCTATTTTCATACATACTACGTTATCCTCAAGCGTATCCTACCGAATGCCCTAGCAATTACAAATACAACAACCTATATGTTATAGAAGTTAAGGAATTTGAGTGAATATGGGGTATTACCCCAAGAGTAATGACATACGAAATGTAACTATATGTTATAGAAGTTGAGGAATTTGAGGGAATTTGGGATTGACACCATGGGTGATGACGTACGAAATGTAAGGATATCTTGGAAATTGGAGGAATGGTTTATATTTTCTCGGTCTTTTTGATGCCTGTGTTGATTTGTTCCGAATTATGTCATGTATGATAGGTCCTCATGATTAGGTTTTCTTGGCGTTGTACAGTTGTTGGTTGCTATTTGGGATGTGGTTGTTACCGATGCTATTACTATTTTGTACCTTGTTGAATGTAACTTTGATGGTGATTGTTGTCTTTTTGTGTACTCAAAAAGTGAGTACACTCTAGAATCGGTCAGTGTGTCCGACCGTCCGTTTACACGATAACTCTTCACAATTACGTTCGATTGAACTGAAATTTTGTGCACAGAATTGTCTCGTCAATATCTCGGTTGAGTTCGAAGATGAGAAGGATCTGTCAAGAAATGGCTGAGTTATCGAAAAAATTGTCATTATTGACCAGACCGTCCCTGAGCGGCGGGGGGCAGGGGAGGGTACAGGGATTTTTTCAAAAAAAAACAAATTTTTCTCAGAATTATTCACAACATATATAAATCGACTCAGTTTTTAACGGTGATTCCGAATCTGATATTAGTTTTGAACCAAATCATAGCTTTCTAACAAAACATCGCCTGAAAAATGTCTCAAATGCACAAAAACTGCATCCAGAAAGCAAATTGCCTATATATGTCTCAGATGATAAAAAACAAATTGAATATACCTGTCCACTTTTTGAAGTACACATAACACTCGGATTTAAATCCGAGGTTTTCGCATTTATTATTTCATGGTCTTAATATATTTTACACAGGCATTAAAACTAGAGCAAGCTGTTTTACAAAATTCATCTCATTCATCAATTATGTACATTTCGAATAAAATCAATGGTATTACCTTCATCCGTAAACAGCAACAAATACAACCGTTGCTCTTTACACCATTTTTACATAAACCGCCAAAATCATTTTCTTTCAGTAGTGAACAAGGATTCAAAAAGCTACAAAATACGCTGAATAATCATTCAACGTTTCTTTCTGTTAACCATTCTTGCTTATTACGTATATATTTATTGCTAACTGTAGCCGCTCGTGATCTTGAGAAGTTTTCTGACGCAATCAAATATCTTGAATTAGTCAACAATGGATTAGAATCAGCATTAAAAATATATTGTACACTAGCTCTTTATCATTTGGACAGTAATAATATTGAACAAGCATTTTTTTTGTGCATATCATGCACTTGACAACGTATTATTCTATCGTAAAACAGATAATAAGACCATCGGAGACTTTTTTCTCAATATGCAACAATTCTATTTGAAAAAGGTGATTACGTAGCTGTTGTTGAATTTACACAATTGGCTTTTGATTCACAATCGACAGAATCAAGTGTCTATGGTAATATGGGTTTAATTTATAAAATTAAAAGAAATTACACAAAAGCAATTAAAATGTTGGAAAATTTTCTTCAAATGACACTGAATTATTTAGATGCTGTTTCAGCTCATTTAGAACTTGAAGATACGTATCTACTATGGGCAGTTTAGTAATTATTCGATGACAATGTCTCGTTACTAAGATGCATCGAATGTTCTTAAACAATATGAGACTGTAACTGAAAACAAAATATTGAGAACCATTCAAGAGAAAATTACTCGAATTAAGTTAATGAACAAAGGGTCTTTAAAAATAAAATAACTCAAACCTTTTGAGAGAAGAAATAATTTATGCTCTAGTTTCATAGGACAATTTTAAGGTAATACAAACGAGATTTATAGTCTTAAAGAATACACGAACGATACTTTGTATTAATAGGTGTAGGTATGGATCTTCCTTCAAGTCACAGCTTCACCCACGCATTCACGCCCACATTAACATCCCAGTGAGAACCTTCAAGGCAAGATGCATTCTAGATAAAATCATTTATCTTTCTGATGTTAGTTATACTCATTGACGAAATTTGAGATTGTGGGTATCGGTGTGGGTGTTGGCCTGTTCATGCTCACTCACATACACACCCGTCCATACTCACACCCCACACGTGCACCCACACCTAAAACTAAAATAGTATCCGATTGATTATCTTCATGGGTGTGGGTGTCGGTATGGGTTGTGTATCAGTAGAAAGACTATTTCCGTACCCAATACTCACATTCATCCACACCCACACCCACACCCACGCCCACACCCTCATAGTTTTACAAAATAAACTATTCTTTTGTTTGAAAAAATGTTATAGAGTATTCTGACATAAATTAATTCAAAAATCTTGTTAAGTCTAGATGTCTGTGTCACTAAAGTAACGTCATTGTTGTCATGAGATGACTAAATTTCAACCACGACTAACTAGATACTTTTGTAATAAAATAAATCAATAATGGATCTTATCCTTGGTGTTTTTAAATAATTGAGTATTCAATCTGAAATCATTTTAATTAGATCAATTACATAACATTTTCTAACCTTTCATATAAAACTTTCGACAAAAGGAAAAAACATATCTGAAATACTACGTTTCTTTTATCTTTGCCAACACAATGGTGATATTCTTCCATCTAGTTTTATAATTTTTGTGATATGTTGAATTCCCAGTATTTAAGCTCTATTTATATCAGTACATTAGATTGAATTTTAGAATAGACCATTAATAGTAATTTCGTAGAAAAAGTGAAATATTTTTGTAATGTTGGTTGAATAGAAATATTCTTTCATGTTTCAAATGCGATGATATCCTTGGAAAAATACATTATTTTATCAATTTTGTTTGATTAACATTCGGAAAAGACATTAAATATGATTGAAATCCAATCCAACATTATTTTTATATCTCTTCTTATTCATTGCTGTTAATGCTTTTCAAATAAAATTAACGATTCTTTTATTAAGAAAGCTTTTTTATTAATAATCTGACATCATGTAACAAAAAAGTTTTAACACTTGAAATGAAATTATTATTCATTGATTTTTCAAATAGATGAAGATCTTTGACATCGAAAGCTGAATTCGACAATTATTTCATATAAAAGCCAGTGTTTTACTTTGTGTATCCATCATATTTATAGTTACAAACAAACATTTCTAAATCTAAAAAACAGATTAACAATTCAAAGACTAGAAGTGTCAAAACCAAAAAAATATATATATATACTTTTTATATACATTCATAATCACAATACTTCTCATTGTGACCAAAAATATTGATCGTCGGCTTTTTATTAAAGCTTCAACTGTTTGTTTTAGACAAAAATAAATAAAGTCGGATAAAATATTCTGAGTCTTTATCTTATTATATGGAATTATATAGCTCAGCTTAGTATTTAAAAATGCAAGAACAAATGAATTCTTTTTTCGTTTGTTTTTTAAGTGCTATTTGTTGATGTGTCTGACGCAATGACAAAGAAAATGTCGATGTAAATCTAACATGAAAAACCAACAACATAAAAATACAAGAAATATACTAGATTATCATTGAATGCGGTGCCTTAGGTGGAATACCGACTGACTACAGGCAGAATGTTCATTTCGATGGAATGTACTATTTACTTAATTTATCAAATTGAATTTATCTCGACTGTGATTCGACTCATAAACGGAGTGACTTACGAAAACACACTAGACAGGTAGACAGATTAAGAAAGTATCAGCTGTTAATTTTCATTTTTGGCATTTGTGCGTCTTCTTAACGTTGTCAGATTTCTGAAAATGGACTTCACATGTGCATTCGGTACATTCTCATGGTCTCGTCAAATTTTTTTTTAACTGAAAATGATACTGACTAAGCGAGTGAAAAGTAAAGGCTACAATCCCTGTAGTTTACCGATGTAAATAATTCGAATGATTAAGGCAAGCCAATATATTTATCTCAGAAGGATAAATAAAAGAATAGCTTGACATTAGAACTACTTTAGTATTTTAAAATATTGTATAACTATATGAGAGATAAGAATGGCAAAATGTCTTCTCTTAGTATCTCGTCTTTCTACATCTGCCAATTTCAAGTTATTATTGATGAAATAAACCAAAAGAATTATTTGAACAATTGTTCTACAGGCGTATTTTGATAAAACTATCTTTTCCTGTTATTATAATAGACTGACTTTGATATAATAAGTTAGGTTAGTAGGACTTCTTTTTTCGTTTTCTCTGTAGGCATAAAATGAACCCAGAAAAAATGCTTTGAGTACTGTTTCGTATGATGAATTTTGCCTTCCAAGTTATTAGAAAAGTTCTAATGAAGTAATTCATATCGGCAAACAACTTCTGTTTTTTTCTTTATACTATTTATCATTAGTTATTTCAATATATCAATAAAAAATCTAGAGATAAAAACACAGTGAATTTTCTCTTTTTGCTGTCGATACATAGATTGCGAGAAAATACTTTTTTAATTATCTTGTTGTATACATTGACTTACTCTGCAATCTTTTCTATATGAAAGTAAGTAGCCATAACAGAAAATGATTTATTAAATATTGATGAACGGATCCGAATTCGGTAAGTATATTATTTAATTGATAGGTACATTTATTTATTTTGAAGTGCTCATAATACCTTTGCATACGATTTAATAATTACACTAAATAATTAATTTGTTGATGTTCAGTGTTGATTCAAAAGAGACCTGTTTATCATTACGAATACTTTTTCATAATACAATACTCAAGAAAAATTAGTCAGTTTTCTGTCAATTTTGTAATATTTAGCATTATATATAAACGGAATGACAATCGTTGTTTTCATCGTAAAACTTTTCCAGAGTAAACAGTACTCTTGCTATTAGCTGAGCAGACCGAAGATTATATATTCTTATAGAGAAAATTACTAAAAGATAGTCCAAACAAATACATATGAAGTTTTATAACCTAACTTTCGTTTGTTCATTTTATTGTTTACATTAGTATAAACAGTACTGATAGAAATAGTAAAATCATTTCTTGGAATATGAGCCTATTAACTGGTCGTAGGAAACATTGAAAATTAATTCGTATAGTACAAAAAAATAATACCATTGTCTATATAGACTATCTCAAATTTAAAGGACCGTTTTAACCGATCTTAATGTAAAACTGAGCTATTTTCAACTGATATGATAAGTAACCGCATAGCTATTCTAACGTGTTCCAAGTCAATGTAATAATATAGGTGACTTTATAATAAGGAGAAATTCAAACGGCGTTTTTGTATTAAACCTATTTTCTCAAGTTCATCACTAAATCACAATGAGAGAGTCATATATGACGTATATCAATAGTAGACAACTGATAAATTAGATTTTTACATTTCTATTACGAAACGAATGACAGAAAAATTTGTAGTTTTTCTAAAGAATTTCTCTTTTTAACATCTATCACAAGATATTTCTTTCACTGAATAGCATTCAAGAATGATCTTGAACTGAAAATCTATCATTTTTTTTTCATGATATTATTTTGAATGATTTTTATTAACTATAATAGAAGAAAAAACATGAAACTATATTTATTGAACTATCTTTTTTATCAAAAACATTCAAGTTTTTAAAAACAAATGAGAAATAAGCATGAGATTATTATTAAAGAACGAGTTTTGTCTCATTATAGATGTTATTCAAAATAATACTCATCTGTTAAGTATCGATGATTCTCAGGAGCGTGACTACAGGTCAAATATTACGTAGTCGGATGCGTGATGTTTAACTCCCTTCTAGTTACATCCCTGATGATTCTAATCGTTCTCGTTTTCGTGTCAAATCTGAATTCATTCCTTTTTTGCCAACGTGGTCAACCGAAATCATTGATCAAATATTTACATTTTATCTTTTGGAAATCTATTAGATGAGTGTACATTATTATTCAGCAGATATCTGGACATCGATTCGTAGTAAATAAAATTATACAGCTAATAGGCATTATTATGTTTAAATTGATTTTCAAAAAAATATTTCTCACTATACATATATGCATTCAAACCATTTAATATCTCAAAGTTTTCCTCAATCCAAAATATTACTGATATCACAGGGTGTTGGTGTGGGGTCTGGGTGTGGGTGTACGTTTAGTCTTCTTTCACACCCACACTCACACCCTTAAGGGCACAGGTGAGAATGTGAATTTGAGATGAAAAAAAAAAACAATGAAACGAATTTAACATAAGTAATTAGTATGATTGAAAAGCTGAAAAACACTCAATAGAAAATCCTTCTTTTTCTTGCAATTTTTTATTTTACATATTCCATAATTTTTGTTGTTAATCTATCTTAAAGATTTTGAACGAAAAAATAAACAATCAAGTGATGTTAAGCGGATGATGATTCATCTCTCTCTTGGATGGAAGATAGAGTTGCCATATTAATCGTTATTTATTTACTTATTACTTTTGAAAGTTGTTCTTTTTTTTCTTTTATTAGTGTAGATCAAAAGATATACATATTGTCCTCTGTAATAAATATTGATTTATATATGTCGCTTTGAATTGAAATAAACAAATAACAATAAAAATAAATGAACTAATAAGTTATGTGGCAGTCCGACTGCAAAGTAACTAGTTGCCAGGAAAATGAAAATGTAGGTAAGGTTGCTTAACTTGGATATCAGGAAGATGACAATAGTATGTTAGATAAGAGAAAAAAATGACTTTCAACTTGGAAAGTTTCAATGAATTTGATTATGTACGACCAAAATTTGACAGCCAAAACTAAGAAACTCAGGGATGTAGGTATGAGTAAAGTGGGAATGAATGTGTACATCCACGCCGTTCCACTCACACTCATATAACGAATAACTTTCATTTTAATGGACATCGCATATAAGAATGGACGATAGAAGACGTTTAAAATGAATTAGGAATGACTGATTACTATTTTCATACATTCCAATGAATTCTATTTTAGAAGCCTTGATTAACAAATGTGATTTTGAATAAAATGCTGTGAATCTAAATATTTGAACATTTATTAAACACTTTTATTTGGATAATTTACAAATCATCTAGTATGGGACAGATAATCTCTTTTATTTGTTATTGAATAAATTATCATCCTATATATTTATAACGAACTAAAGTCCAATAGTCACTAAGATCTCGATACCAATATCATCAAAAGCATGCGATTTTACATTAGTGTATACATAGTGTTATATATTTCTTCTGCCTAGATTCTCATTATACGCGTGCACCACTTGTAAGCACAGGACTAATTATCCTTTTCTTTACTTTCAATGACATATTACACGGTAGTATCCATCAGAATCACAACAAACAAGAGATATTGAAAAGACTAGCAATTAATATCGTCAGATCACTTCAATATAACTCACCGCCTAACAACAACAAACTTCATCTCGTCAGCAATAATGTGTGATAAGTTATAACCGCTACCTATCAACATGCCCATAACTAAATATGGGAACTTTTATCTACAATTATGTTCATGCCGTATAGATAAAAGAATGAAATCGTCTGCCCTTGATGCAATAACAAGTTCACAGGAGGTAGAATTTGAGGAGTATGACTCAAAATCCATTTCACTTGTAGTCTTCTTGCTGTATAAAACCATCATTTACATCAAAGAAATTCAACTTGGTTTCGGTATTCTTTCGAAGCTTACGAGGTTGACAAGTCTCATCTTTAGATAACAAAAGACAATATATAGACTGAATGAAAAACTTGGTGAGCTTCATAAGGCTCATGGTACTGAAATCCTGAGCATGTTTTGCTTGAAGTTTTGAACATCTGACTTTTTTTTCTTAGTATCACAGGCGAAGAATCTAATAAGACACATGGCTCTCAATCTGCAAGTCTACCAAACCTTCGGAAAACATCTTTTGTGTCAGACATAAAACCAATATTGGTGACTAGTAGGACCAATCTAAACTATTCAGATCGACTACGCTACTGATCGTCAAAAATTCAGAGTATTTCCATCTCTGATTGGTATACTGATACGTGAATAATATCGCTAGCAGAAAACAATCGTTTTTATGCCACTATCCTCAATATCAGCAGACCCAAACAATGAGCTTTCTTAGCTAGAAACTCGCTTATAATTTTTGTGAAGTATTTTGCGTGAGTAATGCGCAGCTGACATATAAATATCGCTTCGGAAACTAGAGAATCATTCGAAGTCGGGATTAGAACAGACATTTAGAAAAATTATTCAGCAATCAAAAAACTGATACTCTATTTTAAGTAACCCTACTAAAAGTTTTATGAAAAAGAATTTATATGGTCACCAATCAAAAGTTCATGAACTCGTGTTACAAATATCAATATAGAATTATTTTTCGATCAAAAGCTGTAATATTTTTTTCCTAATGGGTATATGTGTCTACGCCTGTGCACATTAATTGATGGAGAATCAATAGTAATCGTATACTGAATTTATTCACAATTGAAAGACACGGTCACCTATGGTTGCCATTATCCACTGCAGCTGAATAGTGGACAGCCATTGACAACCTATATATATGAGTCTAGCTGTAGATGTTGTCGAAAATGAATACTTGAAAATGATTAGTTCTTATTTCGAATGCAAAACATCCACACGACCATCACCTTTGACATCAAATGATGTTGTTCCTTCTACTCGACTGAGTCCTTTTAGTTGATATTTTAATTCAACATGAGCAGCAGCGACTGGATTATCACTTGTGCCCACATTGCGTACAGACGTTATTTCAACTTTTGCATTGAATACATAACACCAGGCAACACTTGTACGTGATGGAACTACGGTAATACCATCCAAATACGCTCCCCGACCATTTAAAGAACCGCCGTAAAGAAATTCGAGATCATAGTCAAACTGAAGAACGCGTAAACCTAAACGATTATGAATCGTTAGAGAACAAGAACGAGAAACAGGCGAAGGCGACCAAGATTGAAGTTCTAATGGATTATTGATGTTAGCCGGTAAAACGTTGCCATGTATTGTGTGAATATCGGCTGTCGCCGCGCTAAACCATGGAAGAGAGGAAACTTTCCTTCAAAATTTATTTTGTTTTGTTTGATCTTACTTTTTCGAAATAATAGCCCATACGCTTTTAGCTTTATTAAATAATATTGTTGCATCATCCATTAGTGCGCTGCTAGGAGTAGCAGCTGAATTAATCGGAGCAGGAGCAGCTCTTATAGTATCTGTATCAGAAGTAGACACTAGAGTATATTTATTAGAAGCAGATGTTGCATTGGTCTAATGTGAGAAATAAAAAATTAAGCTGAATATATTTGAAATCATGGGTTCAAGGCGAGCATCTGATCCTGATACGAATACGTCTCATTAGTCAAGTCTCTTCCCCATTCCATAATTTTTCTTTTAAAGATATATATTTTTGCTCAGATCTCTTTTATGAGCGGTCACAAGAAGCTGTTAAACAGCATGAAGTACCTAACACACACCAGTGATGTAATTCATAAGTTAGAATAGAGACTTATAAAAAACGAAGAAGTAGTTGAGTTTTACTTTCTGACTCGAACTACCTTGAGACTTAAAGCAGGTAGATCACACGAGCATACTCTCCATAGTGAACCATATATAAGCAAACTGATTGCTAGTATCGGACTACAAAAGACAGTCATGTTTCATCTGTGCTATCAGTCATGCAGAAGGATAGATTTTAGATGATCCAAGCGGTTTCACTTTGTAACAGAAATAAGACGTTGAAGTAACTGAGTATTATTCCACTGATAAGAGTGTGTACAGTTAATACAAGAACGGATAAGGTGAGATGTATGAGTAACGAATACTATTTCCTACCTTCTATTGGAAATTTTATTTCATCTAAATATTCACTTAGGTGAAAACTAGAATGAATTGCATTCCTTTCAAAAAGTTCGATACGTACGAGAAGTACTGGTGAAGACACTGCGGGAAGATAATGTACTTCGAAATTTGGATTGATTGTCAAGTGGAGAAACAAAAGAATGCCGACAATAATTAGAACAAACACAATGACAGATGGTATGATCCAACTCCAGTAAGATGAAAGCATGGTTGTAGACCTGTATATTAAAATCTGAAAGCAAAATTTTAAAACCCAAGTCGTTTTGAGAAAAAATAAAGAGAAAAATATGGCCTAGTGAGGATTTTTCTTTTCTTGCTTTCTTCATCTAAAAATATTGTCACAATGTGATAGTTAGCTGAACATATTTTTAATGAATGAAAAACACAAATAATATGCAGCGTCTCATGGTTACTGTGACAGAATAATAATAATGGAACAATATCAAAGAATTTTTAATATACATATACAAAAAAAAGACTCAAGTCATCTATCTATTTTTTTTCTCTTAATGCCAAATATATTGATATTTAGAAGACATAAAAAAAGAGGATTTAATCTTATTAACTGACTTCACATTATCGCAAGAGGTTGAAGTTTAAAAAGCATGAAATTGCCAATGTAATAACTGGTAACGTAAAAATGGTAAAGCGATCAACATCATTAATATGATTTTCTCAAGATCCAATCATAAAGATACCTTTTCGTGTAAAAAAATGATATACAATAACAATTACGATCACTGATTATCAGGTATTAACCAAATGAGGTTGATCAGATTATTCCTCTAGTCGACTGCAAAACAGCAGAAATACAGGAACTCTTAATTGCATTAATTCTACTAGGTCTGATCAAAAGTTCGTAGAATGATGTATAAATTTTTATAAAATACTAACAGTCTAGTGCATAATTATAAGACCACTTGTTGTAAAATTAAGCTTAATGAAATAAATACTATTTCGAGTGATTTGACATAGATGAGTCATAAGAATGTCGCCATAAAATTTTCAAGCACTAATCCTTTCGTTTTCATATATATATAGAATTTCCTCCATTTTTGTGGTGCATAATTATAGGACCACGTGATAGGTTTATAGTAATAAACGAATCGTGAGTAACTTTAAGTAAAATTAACAAATCAGATAGCACTTCACATTCAAGTTTAACTATGCCGAGAGCAATACAGCTAATAGAAACCGAGAAAAGATCTATCTTAGACCTAGACAAAAAAAACAAGTCTCATCGAGAGATTGCAAGGAAAATCAATCGATCAAAAACTGTGGTAACAAATTTTTTGAAAGATCCACTTCAATATGGCTCAAGAAAACGAATTGGTCACAGAAAAAAGGTCGATGAACGTACAAAACGGCTTGTTTTGAGAACTGCCAGCAACAAGTCAATATCTTGCGCCAACATTATTGATGATTTAAGTTTGAAAATGTCGAGATGGACGATCAATCGTGTTATAAAAAGGTCAAATATACTTAAAAAAATGAAAAAGAAACATTCTCCTGCATTAACAACAGCTCACAAAGATTTACGATTGACTTGGGCCAAAGATCATATGACATGGAATAACGAGTGGAACAAAGTCATCTGGTCGGATAAAAAGAAGTTTAATTTCGACGGTCCTGATGGTTTTTCGTACTATTGGCATGATCTTCGTAAAGAAGGAGAGATTTTTTCGACTCGTGTTCAAGGTGGTGGTAGTGTCATGATTTGGGCGTCGTTTGGCTGGGGTGGTAAGAGCTCAATCTGTTTTATAGATGGACGGATGAATTCGAATGGATATCGTAAGGTGCTCAAAAAACACCTACTCAACATCACTGATAGTTTGGGCGGATCTGAATGGGTCTTCCAGCAGGATAATGCTCCTGTCCATCGAGCGAAGGTCAATCTGGCTTGGTTCAAGTCGCAAAAAATTAACGTTTAGCCGTGACCATCATTATCTCCAGACTTGAATCCAATAGAAAACCTGTGGGGCATGCTATCAAGGAAGGTTTATTCAGAAGGGAAGCAATTTAGAACGAAA